ATCAGTGCTCGTGTTGTCTACGGGGCTCAAATTAAGATGACTTACCAACCTGATCATCAGTCCTGCGGTGGTCTGTACTCATCTCTCCAAGACACCTCCCTCCGGCCCACCTGTGTCATGTACCTCAGTGTTCTCACACCTAATGTAACTCAATGGACCTGCATAGGACGTGATGACATCAGCGGTCCTCAGACTGCCAGAACCCGGGGGGAGAAGAGGCTGCAGGGACTGGTCTAGCAATGTGGCAGGATTGAACATCATGTAAGTACATCTTCACCACATAGAAGGTGTCCTTGTACTTGGACAGCACTCTCCCCAGAGCCTTGGCATCGTCCATATCGCGGGGGATCTTTATCGTCTCGCTCTCCTCCCTGGAAAGAGAAAGAAAAGCCCAAAATGGACGAAGAACCGGAGGAACGCTGGAGGACTCCGAACACGACCACCTCCAAGAAGCCGAGTCCCACAAACATACATGACAGAGGCAGCTAACCTCCCCGCCCCAATCACGCACTATTATTATACATATAGCTCTGACATATACCGCAGTGCTGTACAGAGAACACTGAGCCAGTCACATCAGTCTCTGTACAGAGGAGCTTACACTCTAATGTCCCCTCCCCATAGTCACATCAGTCTCTGTACAGGAGGAGCTTACACTCTAATGTCCCCTCCCCCACAGTCACATCAGTCTCTGTACAGAGGAGCTTACACTCTAATGTCCCCTCCCCCACAGTCACACACTATTATTATACATGTATATAGCTCTGACATATACAGCAGTGCTGTACAGAGGACACTAAGCCGGTCACATCAGTCTATTGTTTGGCATTGTGAAATGAATCTGAATACAGATTCCTGCGGTCATGGTAAACATTGTAGATGGATGAATGCTTGGCTGCGGCTATTGTACTCTGACAGCGGTGGGTGTGACTGAGCAGTGGATTGCAGCCGATTGGCTGCAGCCACTGATCAGCTGAGAATGTTCCGCTCGGTTCCATGGACGTCGGGCTGCTGACAGCCACCCACGGGGCACATTTCGGCCGGTTCATCTCCGCGTCGGGCCGGCTTCACACAGACATGGAAAGATGCACACGGTAGAACAATACTCGGGTAATGCGGAGCGCGGCGTCACCGATACTCACTCGCTGAGCTGCGGGAAGTTTTTGTACACCAGGAACATGATGAAGGCCGCCGATAAAAATATCGATACCAATATGAGGAACGAGGTGCGTGCCGAGCCCAACAGGACCAGGAAGAGGAAAAACAATCATTGTAAGTAAAAGCAAAACATGTTTAAAGGAGAACTATGGGGTCAGGGCTTTTCCCCATAGTTCTCCTTAGGGTAACGGGGGGACACAAACTAGCGTCCTCCCGTCACCCTAAGCTCAGTATATAGGGAGCTACAGCTCGCGGTATACTGAGACGCCGGAGCGGATCCCGACATCGATGTCGAGATCCGCCCAGCTGCGTGAGTGACAGCTGGCTCTGCCTATCTAGAGGCAGAGCCCGCTGGACCCGCCCCCCCCCCCGGCCAGTCAGCGCTGGAGGATCGGAGCGGGGAGGGGGGAATCCAGCCCCTCCCCTGTCACAGCAGAGAGATGCGACATGATCGAGAGGTGAGCAAACGCATGTATGTGTTCTCTCACCTCCCGATCTACTGAGCCGACCTGTGACAGTCTCATTGTCACAGGTCGACTAGAACTATGAGGTGAGTGAAAAGCCCCTCCCCCTCATACTTCTCCTTTAAGGAATGTGAGATGTCATATATGCAGAACTCCCCCATTCCTCTGGGAGTCGCACCTGTAGCTGTCAGTCTTGCAATGCCTCATGGGACTTGTAGTTCCACAACAGCTGGATGGCCGAGGTTGCCCACCCCTGGTGTATGAGCTACCCGAGCACTCAGATACGTCATGACTGACTCCCGATGAACAATGTATTACATTTTATCTTCATAGAAAGCACAGAAATTCTCCGGCCCCCCACCCCGAGTCTCACAATCGTCTCCGGGAACAATCATCGGCACCGGACACAAGATGGCGATCGTTCTGCTGGCAGGGCGGCACTTCCTCTTTCACCGATTGTTCCCGGAACGGCTGACACAGGAAAGTCTTGTGACATAACTCGGGTTTTACTTCAACATCTACAACCTGCACATTCGTCGTTTGTTTTGGATGGAGATCAGGAAACTGAAACCCGACCATAGACATAAAACCATTGTTACCTGCGTCCGATTGGAGAGATTTCTGCTCACTTCCTGTTCTGAAGACACAACAGGGCTTAGGAGGAAATCCCCCATCTTATCTTAGACAGTTGTCACCGGAACAGAAGAAAGATCTCCCCTCCCCCATTCAGCTTCAGTGACAAGGACAAGAATTTACATTTGTCAGTTTTAATGATCATCAAGAGAGACGGAGGAGGACGGCCCCATACCGAGGGGCCACGGGGAGTACAAAAGATCTGTCTGAGGGCCGAATG